CTGATGGCTAAATACCTTGATAAAGCTGAAAGTGTAAATGAAGCTCTGAATCTTGATGATGATTTTTCTTTGGAGGTGGAAGAGCCTGTTGTACAAAATCCTACTGAAGACCACCAAGCAGACATACCACAAATTACAAAACGATATTGTTTACAGCAACAAATACCTACTTGCTGAAATTCTGTTTATGCAATGCTTCAAATTATACTACACTTCAAGAGAGGAAGTGAACAGTGTTCTGAAACGAATTGAACCTGCTAATAGATGCATCTCTGCCTTTGAACTGGAATGCATGACAGAAATGTGCAAATTTCTAAAACATTTTCAAAAGTTTGGTGACTTCATGAGCAATGAAGCTGCCATATTTTCATACATTAAACTTATAAGATCAGGCATCAAAACACGTGTGATGTGAATCCAAATGATGATGAGGGCATTGAATCTCTGAAACAAAATATTCTTCATAGGCTTGACAACTGCTTTTCTTTGAACGATCAAGTGAAACTAACTTCACTTTTGTGATGTTATTACAAAGGTCTGTGTTCCCAGTTCCCTAAAAGAGAAAACAGATGTGATAACTAGGCTTGTTAAGGAAACACAGAAGTAAATAATAACTCCTCCATCTGAAGAGCATCAGCCTGCAACTGGGAGCTGGACAATCACATCTACGACAGCTTCATGTAGCAGCTCTGGTAGCTTCCAATCTGATGTTCTGAGAAGAAAAAGATCATTATTAACAGTCAGACTAAGATGATAAAAGAGACATACAACTCACATTTGAACTACAGTCTTACTTGACTTGTACTCCTTCTCCAGAAGGACAAAGAGACAACTTGCTCTTCTGGAAAAAAAATGTAACAGTTCACCAGTTGCAGTTGTTGCTAGGTGAATCTTGTCATGGAATACATATTGTTACGTCTGTGGTCGTTTGTTAATTTTCCATATAATTTATTTCTGATGAAACTTCAGCGACACAAGTCCTTTCTTAAATAAAACTAGTTTATTCTTTCGCAATTCTACTTTGCAATACATTTAATTTCCACAGTCACTTTAACCTAGACACACGCTAGAATTCACAATGATTCACGCACTTTACTACCGCGCTTGACTCAATTGTCTGTCTCTGTTTGTGTGGAATTATCTATATCTATCTATGCCGTCACTTCTCGCTGGTCTTATATATACAAAATAGAGGGCGTCTCGAGCCTTCAGGAACCTTCTAGATATTCATTACTGTTACCAGAGTCACGTGACTTCCGCTGTCGTAACAATATTCTGTGCCAGTTGAGGCCGTGTTCTCCAGCAAAAACTTGACGTTACATCCTATGAACTTTCTAGAGGTTCTACGCCCACTCGCTAAGAAATTACAACATTAAAAATATATCTTATAAGTTACAACAGATGATGTGCCCGCATATCACATATAACATATTTGCAATTTAATTTATCTTTTTAAGTTGATCGAGCAGAATTTTTGGTACTTAATTCTGTAATATGTTTCACTTATTCTTGTGAAATTGAGCTATTCAACCGAATACATAAGATTTCGAAAATTTCTTGAAGTATATAATATATATTTTCTATTGTTCATTTTATTTTTAGCCATCTCTACACAATTGCTGTGTCCAAGAATCCTTTCTGATGCCGAACTATCACTGATTCACTGAGCACTCAAAGAAAAATGGTGATTGTTTAGTCGAGTATTTTGTACGGAGAAAGCCAAATAGAATATTAGATGTTTTGAATTATGTTACCTAGAGTAGTACAGCTACAAGTTTTAAGTATTGCAAGGTTGCAGATATTGTTTTCAACATTTTGTAGCCCATTGCTCGTCGTGACACGTTTATTCAACTCGGCTTCAACTAGCATTACATTTTATTTTTAATTTTAGTTTTACATTTATAATTGAAATTTGAAACGTTGTTCCAACATCAAACTAAAGTTCAACTTGATATAAAAGTGCAACTTGCGTGGCCAACTTGACGTTAGAAATTCTTGAACTTGTGGAAACGTAAATTATAACGAAATAAAATTAAAAATTTCTTTATGGATGAGAATCTGAACAAGTGAGTTTGTGTAACTGTAAGAAGTAGGTAAGTATTAGTAAGTTTTACAATGAACTCGTGCAATTCGTAATACAATGACACAGTTAGCTGTGACTCTGAGTGTAACTTCGTTATAACTTACAATATTATTGAATATAACAGTACTGTTAACGGTGTTGCACACCTTTGTTAACTTTGTTTGTATTATTATTACACAAGTGTGCAGGATTATTACAAGTACTAGTAGTAACCTACTGCTGAGTTAACATATAGGGATATATTGTTATTGATGATATAGTACTAATTGTAAAGATTAACTAAACTAGAATTTATAGAAATTATAATTTCACGCATAAATAAATTGTAACTAGCAATGCAAAAAAAAGTATACATCTTAGGAGCTGTTAATATTATGGTGAATTTGAGATGTCATAAAAATACTTTTTTAAATTTTCCTGACAATTATATTTCAAAACTGAATATTTATTTTTGTGCTCAATACTAGTGTAAAAATCATGAATACTGCAGCATAATGTCTAGCATTTTCATTTAAATTTCGATATTGGCACCTGGATGAGTAGAAATTTTAGAATTTCAACTGAGCCTTCCTTACTTATGTTTCTAGGGAAATAAGATTCATAATTTCTTTTTCCCAGTGATAAGATTTATTTCAACAGAAAAAACAAACAAAAAACATCATATATACTAGTTGTTTTCATGCTTTGGCCTCTACAATCAGTGTCAATGTGACTGACTGATTTAATCTGTATATACTTTTTTCAATGCTGATACCTGCATGCATAGTGTTAGCAAAGCTTGTTTTTTTAGCTTTGTTGTAGAATGTAATAATGTTGCCCAACATATATCACAGCAAACAAATGGAGTATTGTTACTGAAAAGCTTGGTTTTTGAGAATAAACTTTGATGATTAATATCTGTTGAATGGAACAAATGTTAATGTACAAAATTATATTTTCAGAAGAAATCCTCAGTGAGAAAACCTAAAACTGTATTTCATAAGGTTAAGTCTTCAAATATGAGTTTGCGAGTAATTTTCTGGAAATGTAACGTTGCAAAGGAAGAAGAGTGGCAAATTTTCTTTCCCCATTAACACAAGTATGGAATTCTCCTTCAACTTGAAAGTTAGTGCCAGTCAAAACTATTTTATGACTGTTAATGAAATATTTATTTTTAATTAAAATTTTTTTGTTTTGCACTTAGGAAGTTTAAGTGTATTTTATTTTTACGGATATGTGTTACTCAGGGTTATCAATAACCTGGAACCCCAAGTATTTCATGTACAAACTTCTGAGTTTATAGGCAAAAATCTTATCATATGGGAACAATCACAAATAGAAATTTTGGTTCATGTGTGTAAAAATGGGAAAAAAAAGGCATTAATTTTAGTGTTCCAATGCTGTTACTTAGATTAAGATAATTGCTGATATCAAACATTTATATTTTGAGTCAGATATTAGATATATGTACGTAGTATACATTACAAATTGGTTTGAACTCATGGATGTCATGTGGTTTCCTGTATGGGCAGAGACCTCAGTCATACAACTGTCAATGAAATGAGAGTGTGCTATCAGATTGAATTGCATGTTCATGGGTGAACTGTCAAGCATGCGACTTATTTAATTGTTGTCTCTGATTAGTCTGGGTACTTCATGCTTACATAGATTGCAATAAAAAGAAACATGACTTTAATCAGATTATGAAGCAGCTTGTTTATGTGGTAGTCAGTAATTGATCGTGAGCTGTTACTTGTTGCTTCTTTGTGGACAATTAATAATGGCTGGAGTTCCTGATGATGACAAAATCTTGTGAAAACGTTGTACATTTGCTATTATGTTAAACTTATATTAAAGTTTTTCTTCATTACCCATTCAAGCCGTCTCCAGCCATTATTAGTCTCAAAGTGGGTTCCTCGTCATCGAATTTGTGGACAATTGTTAGGCTAAAGTCATTAAAGGATGATTAAACAGACTTGTAATTACTACATAATGATCATATACACTTGTTTTGAAATAGTGAATATTGATTACCTTTACTAGTTTCAAAGTGGGTATTCATCAGAGTAGACCACAGTGTCAAAAACAACAATTTATTTGTTTTTCATCCCCAGCACAAAGCCACAAACATCAATACACATATATTTATACACATTGAATATATCTAAAACTAATAGGGTACTAATGTTATATGAAAGCAATGTGTAACTGTTACAGTGGGTGTTGGCAACATCATTAAATTTGACACTAATAATTTAAGTGTTCACCCTCAGGTTTCAAAGTTTCACCTTCAGAATTTGACACCAAAGAGTATTTCATCCCAGTTCTGAAATCCTGTGGAGAACCTTGATCACTGTATGTTATTGTTGTCCTTGTGTCACATTACTAACTGGTGTTACTAATCAAGTGACTTGATCATGAAATTTGTATGATGTACATTCACTATTCTGTACATTTACACATTTCCATAAACAATGCATTTTGAAATATTATTCTTTTCCAAGATTTGCAAGTGGTTTAATACTAATGTGTGTGTGCAGAAAGTCAAAAACAGTTCAAGTTCATTAGTTTCTTCACAAAAATTAAAAGGTGAGAGAGACATTTTATGAAATGATTTCATTCATAATTTTTTTTTCAGAATTAAATAAAAAGGTAGAAATTTTTAAAAATGACAGAAAATCGAAGGTTTTCACTTGAGCACTACCATTTAAGTGAATTAAAATTGTTTACACTTTATACAAATTACATAATAAGAGTGTTAGATTAAGATTGGTATGTATTGTTAAAGCACAATCATTGATGATTTTGTTAGATAAATGATTAGTAATAGTAATAAGTTCTTAGCAGAGTGACCTGTCATTATCTCATTAAAAATAAATGTGGAATTGGCCCTATCAAAATAAATACAGATTAAAACTGATCATTACTTTATTGTATGTAATAATAGTAAAACAAAACATACCAAAGATTAAAAGTAAATGTAAGTAGTACTCCTTTTATAGGTAGGCTACTTACTTAAGTAAAAAAAATGTTTAATAAATTACTACTTCTCAGTGTAAATCGTACTTCACATTTGAAAGATTAAAGTTTGGAAAAGATTGATTTTTTTTTCTCTCAGTTATATTATAGAGGTTGAGTTTTTATAATAATACATGTACACAGTGTTGGGCACATTACTAGAAAAAGGTAAAAATAGTAGTGTTTTACCCAAAATGTTACTCATTTAAAACTGTAACAAGTAATGACTCATTGCTCATTATTTTTGAAATAGATACCTGTCTTTTACGTACAAAACGTACACTGTGTACATCGTATATTGTATATATGTACACAGAACTGAACTCAAGACAAAAAAAAATGCATTATATATTGAGAGAATTTACAATAGCAATTAAAAGAGCTACTTTATTTTTTCTTTATAATTTTCCAAGTAAGAGCCATGTATGACTGACACAATATAAGAAAACGGAATACAAATGCCAAAAAATAACTACTAAGTAGCTTATCAATTAGTGTGAAATAACAGAGTTTACTTCATGTAATAACTGTAGTGTTAAAATGATTAATTAGGAAGGTCAATATCATTGTTACATTTCAAGAAAACAGCTCTTTCGAAGCTTGTGTCAGACATTCCTCCTTTTTTCACCCTCAGCTCATCTTTTCCAACTGAAAAAAACCCTCTCGACTGCGGCACTTGGTATAATAGGTGTATTTAATGAAATGAAAACTGACTTTAAGACTGCATCTGGAATTGGTGTCATTGTGAAAAAATTTTACAAAAGATTTATCCAGAAGAGCACCAACTACTTGAACACTTTTATGTCCAGTACTTTTTGGCCTCTTTGTTTGCAGGCATGTGAAATAATCATATTATGTTTCTGTCGTGTTACTTTGATTAGACAATTCTGTACCATATTGTGCTATGTTCTTCTATCTTTGTGATAATTTTTCATCCAACTTGTTCTTTCCAATTTTCTGGAAGCCAAGAGAGCTTGAAACTAGGATGAGAACATGCCAGGAGAGATGGTGGATACATCGTTGGAGAACAGTCTGTAAAAGAAGTTATTACTCTGTTATTTAAACTTACAACATAAGTGCAAAAAAATAATTTTGACATTTAATAACATGGCTGATAATCCAACCCCGGTTAAATGTAATAAACATCAATTTTGTTTTTTGTTTCTAATCTTTGTGTAGGGGGGGGGGATAATGGGAGAACCTGCCCGAAGCGTAGTGACTGGCCAAATTTTACTACCCGTGCATCCCTAGTATATGTATATGTGTAATTAACCTTTCTACAGTGATGAAGGGTCTGTTTAATATTTTATTTTGACTATCATGAAACAATTTTATTAAGATTAAAGAAAGACTCCCAGGCATGAAAGGGACAATTATATGAATGTAACTTGTATCTGTTATATAGGTAATGTATATCTTCTTTCCTCCCATTATTTCATTCCTTCCTTCATTTATTAATTTATTCCCACACTCATGTTTGTATAATACAAATTATTCTCTCTGTCTCTCTCTCTCTCATTATATATTGCAACCTCCAGTGCATAGTGACTCCTAAATAGGCTTTGAAATAAAATAACAATCCGTCAGTTTCCAATTGTGCTTTGAATCACAAAACAGGTTAACTTCAATGGATAAAAATTAAATATAATACATATGATGACAATCTAATAAAATATCAATGTTCCCATGTCAGGTGTGAAAAACAAACCTCTAACATTGTATAGTTTAAAAATTGTGAGAATATTATAAATTAAAGATTATTTATTATTTAATTACCTGTTTCTGCAACTTCAGCAGTTGTAGTGAAAGTCTTGACTACCACTAGTTGGAATTTGAGGAGGCTAATTTTTTCTCATAGGTGTCATTTATTTACCACAATAATGTTCTTTGAGAAATGACTGTTTTTGTTGGCTGTAGTGATGTGATTAAATTTCTAAAGGATGCAGACTGTAAATGTGGGAAGCTCTAAATGACAAAAACTCTGAAACCATGAAGTGCAATATTAGCCCATTCAGCTTTTGTTGAGATACTCAAGAGTTGTTTTTTTTTCTTGATGATCAACTGCAAGCTTTTTAGGCATGTGGTCATTACCTTCATTTCTTTTCACTGTTCGTTTATTTCATGCCACACCTTGTTTCACTGTAGACTAAAATTCCTTAACAACAGAGAAATATTTTATGGATACATGTTTTTTTAAGTTGCTTGCAGATTCACTGCTCACATTGAACATTTTCTTTAAAGGCAAGCAAAGCAAGCATTTATATGATACGTTGTCATCACTGCTTCTTACAGTAAACTATTTGTCAAGATATGGTCATGGATTATGTGGAATTAAGCTCAAACTGGATAAAACATGTTTTAGCAGGATTACATGTGCAATACTTCAGTCCTCTGCTGTTATTCCAATATTACTGCTATTTAAAAAATATATTATTTATTATATTTATGATTATTTTTATTAGTTCAGTAAGTATTGTTATTGTTTTAACCAGATAGTTTTAACTAATAATAATAAGTTATTTTATATTTTTAAGTATATTAGTAGGGTATAATATTACTGAATTTAAAAAGTAACAAATAATGCACTGTATTGAATTAAAATTTAATAATGTTACTAAATTTGAAAAGTAATGTCATTACCTTGGACATTACTAAAAAAGTAACATTGCTGATAATAATGACATTACTGCTCAACAGTGTATGTACATACCACATTATCACAAGTTCTTTGTCTTAAAATGACACCCATCCTTTGCAAAAATTTTGAAGTTTTTGTTACCTCTATATTACAATTATTTTGCAATCCTTTGTGTTTTGTTTGCAAATAATACATCATTTCTGTGGCTGTTTATGATTTTAATAATTTATTTTGAACCCGCACACTTGACTCTGCCTCCTGTGGGGTACTCCTCCACGAGAATTGTTTGATTCCAAGTTACATCTTTTGTTTTTGGTCTCCGGTTCTTCATCCATTTACCCTAGCTGTCAATACATTCAGACAGAATTAGATCCAGCTTATAACTTTGGTTTTTCTCATTCCATCGGTCTTCTTCCCAAGGGGATTTTGATCATCCATGCCATTCTGGGTCAGATCTTTCTGATTGATC